ATTCCTGCACTTACGTAACCGTTTTAAAAATTAGTAACGATTAGAATTCATTCCTATTGGAGCAATCATTTAAATCTGATTCATCCGCGAGTCTAAAATCAATAATAATGTCGTTTAGTTCTGCAGAATTGGTTTATTTCTAAAAACAGTAATCCTTCCTTAAAATCAGTATGCTTTACCTTGTTAGATATCATGCCTATAGGTCTCACCTAGGCAAACCATTAGGTAACTAATTGCTATACCAGTCTTTAATAATTACGACCAGCAGGCAGGCCTAATTTGGACTTCTTATCTGAAAATATGTGATAAATCAGCCACCCCTTTCACGTTTAAGTTTAATTAAGGACCTAACTAGTACCTGTAAGTCATGCTAAACAATTCGTTGCTTTGAATGAGGAGGCCTATTTGAGCCTTTAACTGTTATGTGTTTCCCCTTTTATTGCTTTTATGTGTTTTGTTTGTCGCACTAGACTTTTGTCCTTTTAAAACTCTGAAAAGCCAATCTCTCTTCCCTTTAGGATTAGTAGTCCCAACTGCCTCCGAGACTGATAGGATTGGGGCGGGTAATAGCATGCAATAAGTAACGAGACCATTTCGCGATTTAATACCTTAACGGGGTGGGTAAGGGTAGACATGTATATGATGACCACGCGATAGCACCACATGTATAAATGGTTACCGGGTGTTGTGTGGGGTGATCCATGTTATGTACAAACCTAGGACCCCCTCCCTCTTTATTTGTTTGCTTTCTTTTCTTTCCAGAACTTTTTTTTAGAAAAGCTGTTAATTTTTCAGTTCTCTAAACTTCTTCTTTTACTTCAATCACTAAAAAATCTCTTTTAATTATTTGATTTCCAGCACTGTTTCTTCTCCAAACCTCCGCCTCTTTTATTCCCTTTGTTTGATTATTTGTACCAATTATTTGACCCCCTTTTCCTGTGGTTGTATATCCCTTAAATAATTATGAAATCGCCTATCTCCGAACTTCAGCATGTTTATTTAACTTTTATACTTCCCTTATTTGCAATCGTTATGTAAAAGCTGTCTTGTATGTTTACTTGTTGTTTATATTTAAAGTCACAATTATAGCATGGCCGGGAACCACACTAGTGGATCTTGGGGGGTGCCTAACACCTTCCCCCCGAGATAATTTCAAGCCCTTACCCATTCTCTGGTTCTTTTTTTTATTTTTATTCTTAGTGTCCTAATGCACTCAATCATTAGGTGGCGACTCTTCTAAATTGCAAACCCGATTCCCAAAAGGAAAAGAGTTGTCCGTCCAAATATCATAAACCCGATTTCGCGAGAAAAAGGGGGCATCGACAGAGTGTTTAAATGAATATTTCAAATGAAACCCTAATCACGACTTTCAAGCCAACAATAGTTCAATAAACCCTCAAGGGCTTTATTATTCAAGTATTTCAACAAATCTCAAGAATGATCTACAGCACAAACATAGAATCTAGTATCTCAAGAATACTGGCCGTAGTAATGTATTAATGATTAAGCATAATGGTATCCGAATTTGACATATCAATATTTATCACAATTCGGTCCAATTTTAATCAAGTAATAAATAACTACACTTTAGTTCCTAACATTCAATTCCATATTTTAGTGATTTAGGAGTCAGGTAAGACATGAAGCAAGAAAGTCACGTAGTTCTACAAAATACAATTAATATAATTTACCACTGAGCATGATTAACCCTGGTACATGCATATATGCTCGTCACTTCATATATGTATCACACCCGCATGTAGCAAACAATGTCAAATAGTAGGAAAAATTCCCTCACCAAAGTTAGGCAAGACACTTACCTCAATTCGGCTAACTCAATACTCAATTTAGCTTTTTTCCTTTACACATTCACCTCCGCTTAGCTCAATCTAGCCAAAGACGACTTAAATACATCACAAAATGCAAGAGAAATATTTTCAATTAATAAAGCTGTGATTTTTATACAATTTCTAAAAAGTCAACCCCCGGGCCCGTCCGATCAAAACTCGGGTCCAAGGGTAGGTCTTGAATACTCATAGCCTCACGAGTCCATATACGTAGTTTGTTTCCAAATCCGAGTCCTATTCGACTCTCAAATCCCAAATTTTTATTTTTCAAAGTTTTGACAAAATCCCCAAATTTTTTCCTAGATTCTAATAAATTTGATGTTAAATCTTATGTATAATCATGAAATATAATTGAGAAATGATTAGAGGTACTTACCCAATGATTTGGTATGAAAATACCTTCACAAAATCGTCTCCCATCGAAGCTACGGTTAAAAATATAACAAAATGAAGCTAAGTCTCGGAATTCTCAGTTATATGCAGGATGGAGATGTCGCATTTGCGACATGGGGTTCCAAATGCGAACTCCGCAAATGCGAACAACTCATCACAAAAGCGAAGTTTTGAAATTCTCTGCTGCCTTCGCATATGCTACCGAAAAGGACGCAAATGCGAACACTGGTCCTTCGCAGAAGCGACCAGTTGGTCGCAAAAGCGAACTAACTCAGCCTAGGCCTTTATCGCAAATGCGATACTGAGTTCGCATAACAGGCTTCGCAAAAGCGACAAGTTCTTTGCAAATGCGATTCCCTTCCCAGCAGCCTAGCTTCGTAAATGTGAGGCTGCTTCGCAATTGCGATAGTCGCATTTGCGACAAAAACATCGCAAATGTGATGACACCAGTACCAGCACTCAAAATCATGAAAAATCATTCTGAAACCAATCCGAAACTCACCCGAGCCCCAAACGCTCCAAACCAACTATGCACCCACGTCCAGAAACATAACACGAACTGGCTCGTGCGATCAAATCATCAAAATAACCTCCAAAAGCACGAATCGGATGCCAAAACATATGAAGATCAAAGTAAACTTCAAGAACTTCTAAAATCGCAACCAAGCATCCGAACCATATCAAATCAACTCCAAATGGCGCCAAATTTTGCAGACAAGTTCTATATGACGAGACAACCTACTCAAGGCTTCAAATCACATATAACAACCTCGAAACGACGAATCTCACCTCAAGTCAAAATCAATGAACTTTGAAACTTCAACTTCTACAACCGATGCCGAAACCTAACAAATCACGTTCAATTGACCTCAAATTTTGCACACAAGTCACATTTGACATTACGGACCTACTCCAATATTCGAAATCAGAATCCGACCCCGATATCAAAAAGTCCACTTCCAAGTAAACTTCCCAAAAATCCAACTTTTGCCATTTCAAGACTTATTTGACTACGGACCTTCAAATTATAATCCGAACGCGCTCCTAAGTCCAAAATCACCCAACAGAGCTAGCGGAACCGACGAAACTCCATTCCAAGGTCCAATACTAAAAAGTCAAACTTCTTCAACTCTTCCAACTTAGAGCTTAAATCTTGAAGTTCCTTCCTCCAATCGATTCTGGATAACTTGAAAACCAACACCGACGATTTACGCAAGTCATAATACATCATGCGAAGACACTCGGGTCCTCAAACCACCGAGGGAAATGCAGAACTCAAAACGACCAATCGGGTCGTTACACCCTTAAGATAAAAATTATTAAAAGTGCAATTTGACTAATCTACCCCTTATTAATTCTTTAGTTTTTATCTAATTTTAGAAAAATTAATACTTTTTATTTTTTAGGATACAAATATAAGGGAACAATTATTTTTAATATACATGATAACTAAATGGGAACATAGGAGAAGCTTCTAGCTTGCACTTCTTTAGTGAAAGTTAGAAGAGTTGAAAAAAAAGATTTCAACTCTTCTAACTTTCCCAGGCAGCTTCTCTTTAACAAATTAAAGAGAAGCTTCTCTTTAACAAATTAAAATTAAGGGTTAAATAGTACTTGATATTTGGCTTAAAGAATATATATATATATATATATATATATATATATATATATATATATATAGAATCGTTGGTTTGACCGACGAACTACGTGGGAAAATAGAACTTCTTTCTTTGATTTGAAGCAAGATTTTATATATATTGTCTCATATTTTACTCGTGTTTCGTGGATTTCGAATGTGAAATGTATTGATTTATGTTTATTCGTGGTATTTTTATATGTAAGAATCATCTGGAGGCAATAGGGGCCAAAGGTGCGAGATTAGAGCCAAAAAGAAGCAAAAGGTTGAAAATTAGTCATTCTGGCGCCACAGGCAGCGTGGGGCACTACCTGTGACGCAATTTTCAGAAAGTTTATTTTCCCAGCGCCATGGCTAGCGCCCCACGCTACCCTGGGCGCTGGTGACGGGAAACATCTCCAACTTTGCCCCGGACAAGGTTATTTCGGCCCAAGACCTACCCAACGCGTATAAAAGCAAGACTAAGCCTATTTTGGGAGGGGAGACGCCACTTTGAAGAAAAAATACACACAAGGAACATTCGGGAGCGAGGAGTATTACTTGTATGACCATGTATACTTGCGTGTGCGTTTGGGAGCGATATTACTCTATCTTATAAGTATATGGTATAGTTCTAATATTGAAAGCTGGAGTAAACTACCATACTAATGTTATTTAGGGTACACTTAATCTGGATGAACTAGAATTTAGCACATTAAAAAGTTATCCAGCTCACTGTTTAAAGTCTCAAAAATCTGAAAGATATCTTGAAAATTTCAAAAACTGGTTGGGATTGCCATTTGTTAGGTTCTATTTATCATAATTATCGAATGTAATTTAAAGGGTGAAAAAGAAAAGAAATCTCACATGGGCAATAAACTTTTTCAACGGTTAGAGAAATCCTTTTTTTGACAATCCCAAAAGGCAGTCAAAAGAGTATTTTGGTAAAATCCGACAAAAGCTTAAGCTTTTCTCCAACATATGTCCCTTCCCTTTCTTCCTTTTCACTTCCAACCCATTCGTGTTCAAAACTTCAAATACAGGTCAAGGGGCATTCTCGTAATTATCCAACAATTCTCTGCCCTTTTTCATTTTCCTATCACTCCTTCTATTTATACTCTCAAATTCTCACTCCCAAACCCTATCCAACTATCTTCTTTTCAAACTCTAGTTCTTTGCATTCAAGCTCTAAAAAAAAGCCAAGCAAATCTTCATATATTAATTTACAGTTCAGTTTTGGTAATTACTCTTCATCACCTTATGTTAAATTCATATTTTATTGCTCATCTTTCATTGTTTTTATTTTTGTAATTATTCTTTGCAACATATATCCATTATATATGTTTTTTGATCTAATTTCAAACATGTCTTGTTTCAGGATCCACTTCATATTTGTCTGGAAGATATAATAAGTCTTGGGGCTCTTCATTACACAAGTATTTAGTGCTCCCTGGTATGTGTTCATAATGATGATAAAAATAGGAATTTTTTTTTATAGTTATATGTAATGTCAGATGTATATATCAAAAGATTCCACATAGAAACCTGAGATTATTTTAGCTTTTAGTCCATCACTTTTTTTTAAGAAACTTTTTCTTTTGTAAACCACCAGATCCCAATGTTTTGTTATATTAACAGAGAATTTTTTTCATGTTTGTGACAGAAAATGAAGGATCATTCCTCTTAGCATAAAGTTGGTTCAAGCTTTTTAGTCCATCGTAAAGTTCAGGCAGGCACTTCCCTTTTTCCATGCAACTGATGATATAGAGCTTTCAGCTAGAGAAAAAAAATGGACAAGAGAGGATCAAAACCACGCGATAAGTTGATCATGTTCGTGTTCGTGTTCATGCTATTTTACATGCAGCAGTGCATATGTTCTGAGCTCGAGCTACTTTTATCGATGAAAGCATCGATAAAGGATCCGTTAGGGTCTCTTCATGATTGGATTCCATCTCAATCTTTTTGCCATTGGAATGGTGTTATTTGTGATGAGTTGTCTCATGTTGCGAAAATTGAGCTCTCGGGCAAGAATTTATCTGGAAAAATATCTGAGAGTATATTCAACTTGCCACATGTTGAATCAATTGATCTCTCCAATAATCAACTTTCTGGTGAAATTCCAAGCAATTTCTCATCTTGTTTGGCACTTAGATTTCTCAATCTTAGCAACAATAACTTCACAGGTCCACTTCCTCAAGGCTCAAGAATCCCACTTCTTGAGACATTGGATCTCTCAAACAACATGATTTCAGGGAAAATCCCCGAAAATATTGGACTATTTTCGAGTCTCAAAGTTCTCGATTTTGGTGGAAATGTCTTGATTGGGAGCATACCAAAGTCTATTTCAAATATTTCTAATTTGGAATTCTTGACTCTTGCTTCAAACCAATTAATCGGAGAAATTCCTCGAGAACTAGGGTTTATGAAGAAATTGAAGCTTATTTACTTGGGATATAACAATTTCTCAGGTGGAATTCCAAAAGAGATTGGTGAATTGACTTCTTTGTATCATCTTGATCTTGTGTACAACAATCTAACAGGTGAAATCCCTTCATCTTTAGGTAATCTCACCAATCTGAAGTACCTTTTTCTCTACATAAACAAGCTCACTGGTCCAATTCCAAGATCCTTATTCAATCTCAAGAAATTGGTATCACTTGATTTAAGTGATAACTTCTTGTCTGGTGAAATTCCTGAGATTATATCCCAATTGCAAAATTTGGAAGTTCTACAATTATTTGCCAACAATTTTACTGGTAGAATTCCACATGCTTTGACTTCCTTGCCTCATCTTCAAGTTCTTCAACTATGGTCTAACAAATTATCAGGTGAAATTCCTAAGGACCTTGGAAAATACAACAATCTCACAATTCTTGACCTTTCCACCAATAACCTCATCGGAAAAATACCCGAAAACATATGTTACTCCGGCCATCTTTTTAAACTCATACTCTTCTCAAATTCCCTCCAGGGCGAAATCCCGGTGAGTTTGAGCCATTGCAAAAGCTTACAAAGAGTCCGTTTGCAAAACAACCAACTCAGTGGTGAATTGTCCCTGGAATTCACTAAGCTTCCACTTGTTTACTTTCTTGATATTTCGGACAACAATCTTTTTGGATCCATTAGTGAAAGAAAATGGGATATGCCAGCACTTCAAATGCTGAATTTGGCTAGGAACAAGTTTTTTGGCACCTTGCCTGATTCTTTTGGTACCAAGAATCTTGAAAACCTGGATTTATCAGGAAATGGTTTTTCTGGTAATATTCCTAGAGATATCGGGCAATTTTCAGAACTAATGGAGCTGAAGTTAAGTAGCAACAAACTTTCAGGTGAAATCCCAGATGAATTATCTTCATGCAAAAAGCTTGTGACTCTTGACCTAAGCCAAAATCAGCTATCAGGTCAAATTCCAATGAGTCTTTCTGAAATGCCAGTCCTTAGCCTTCTTGATTTGTCAATGAATGAATTATCAGGCGAAATCCCACCAAATTTAGGAAAAGTTGAATCACTTGTCCTAGTCAATATTTCTCACAACCATTTCCATGGAATCTTACCATCCACCGGAGCTTTCCTTGCCATAAATTCCAGCGCGGTGGTCGGAAATCAACTTTGTGGAAGCCGTGGCGACGAAATCACAAGCGGTTTGCCGCCGTGCAAAGCCGTCAAGAAAAGCTCAATTTGGTGGTTCTTCTTGACTTGTCTACTTGGAATACTAGTCTTGTTAGTATTCTCAGCCTTAGTTGTAGTATTCATCCAAAGGAGAAGAGAATTAAAGCTCAAGAAAGTCGAGAGTACTCAAGATGGTAATTGGGATATTCAATTCTTTGATTCCAAGGCTTCAAAATCCATCACCCTCAATGATATCTTATCTTCTGAAATAAGCAACACACAAATCTTTGTGAAGAAATTCAATCATGTGAATTTGAATATTCCAAAAAGTTTTTGGACAGATATCCAAGAACTAGGGAACGTTCGACATCCAAATGTTGTGAAGCTTATAGCTGCATGCAAATCAGAGAAATGTGGAATTTTGGTTTATGAGTACGTAGAAGGGAAGAATTTGAGTGAAGCAATTGGAGGCATGAATTGGGAACGTAGAAAAAAAATTGCTATAGGAATTGCTAGAGCTCTCAAATATTTGCATTTCTCTTGTTCACCAAGTATTGTTGTTGGTGACATTTCTCCCCGGAAAGTTATCATCGACGGCAAAGATGAAGCTCACCTGAGATTGAGTCTTCAAACTATTTTCACTAGCAGCAAAGGTTTCAGCTCTTCAGCCTACGTTGGTCCAGGTAAATTTACCATTTTACCCTTGTCATAAGTCCATTACATATGAATAATATCTAGGGTTAATTGTTTGCAGTTTATATACTTCTCTTTTTTTGGAATTTATTAGTAAGAGTTTGTACACACTACCCTACTATGTGGGATAACACTGAGTCTATTATTGTTGTTCTTGTTGTATTAGCAAGAGTTTGTGATTAAATAGAAATAAACCATCTCTATGTCAGTAATAGAAAATAAAAGAACATGTTTATTTTTTAGTTTTACCTTAGTGATAGAAGTATGTTTTAAGAATTACTTTTTTTGAACATACTAGACAATACATAATTCTGAAGAGGGTAGCTAAGATTTGATAGCAATTAAATTTCCATCTTAGGCGCGATACGATATGATAGAGCTGTCACGTTATGTTGAAAACTAATGTGCTAACTATCAAAATTAACAGTTAGATGCTACGTTCTTGGTCTTTATCTGGATTCTGCTTTAACTTTGCTTTATTATAGTCGCAAATATTATGATACTTTTTTGGGCCATATATAACAGTCATTATGACGTCAAGGAATTACGCAAACAAATTTCATGGAGGCAATCATGAATGTTTTTCTTCTTTTCTTCATGAGTATTAATGTAGAGACATGATTCTAAGCTTTATCAATCTTATCATTTCGTTCTTTACGTAGAAAACAATAGATCTAGTCATGTAACAAAATCATATCATAATCCTATTTCATGGCCCTTTATGCCATGCACGTATGATAGCAATAGGACTAAAAGATAATAAAATCTTTCCCATTCTAACTGTAATTTTCTTATTCTTTTTTTTTTTTGGGTGTAATTGCAGAATACAAAGGAATATCAGAGAAGAGTGACATATATGGATTTGGCCTTCTGTTAATTGAGCTATTGACTGGAAAAAACCCTGCTGATGCTGAATATGGCTTGCATGAGAATGTCGTCGATTGGGCACGATATTGCTACTCAGAGTGTCATTTAGAGACATGGGTTGATCCAGCAATGAAGAATGATGCAGTGAATAATCAGAATAAAATGGTGGAAATGATGAATGTAGCACTGCAGTGCACTGCTACTGAAGCAGCAGCAAGACCCTGTGCTAGTGATGTTGTAAAGACATTGGACTCTTTTGTGAGATCAAATTCTTGTGGTTTAGGTTTGAAAAGGTGTTCTAGTGTTTAGATTTTGGGACTTTTAACTCCAAGATTTTTGTTTTGCCTTAATTACTTTTTCTTTGATCAGCTTCTGAGTGTTGCTCAATGTTTTGGGATGCTATGTGGCATGCTATTTGAGTGTAAAATGTAGATATAAAACTAAATGCTAATATATAGATTGCAACTTTTAAAATTCTCTTCTCATAGTATTTTATTTGTAGTATATCCATTGTGCATGCATGCAATTGGCTAGTCAACATAGTGGAACTTCATGCTTCTATAGATAATTATTAGAGGGAAAATGGTTTTATCGATCTCGTGGACTTTAAAATAAATATAATCTACCATTCAAAATACTCCTATAAGGAAGTATATGTAGTTGATACCCTCTTTCTTATGACAATTACGACTAAGTGAGGACTATTCTTTTAGCCTTGTGGTAGTTATAGTTTTTGTTTTTATTGATTGAAGACTTGGTAAAAAGGGAGCTTAAATGGATATGTATGATATAATTTAGGAAGCATTTCATATTAAAACAAAATTTGAGATGTCATTGTGTATACGGTGGAAATCGGGTATTGATTGAAAAAGAGATACCACGTCGAAAAGCCAGGACGTCGAGTCCGGGATCGAAGTTGCTTTCCAAAATTGAGGTCGACATTGCTAATCGAGGTCAGAAAAGGGCATACTTCGAAATGATGCCGGTATAGTTTAGTAACAGAAAGAGCGGGATATCCGTGACGGATCGAAGATCATGGCAGAATTTCGGAATGGATTGATCTTCGGCGGTTAATTAGATGCTAATATGATTTCCTACTATAATTAGAAGTGTACCTTATTTAGGACTCCCCTATTATATAAAGAGGGATCTCATTCATTTGTAAGCATCATTGTTCACTGATAAGAATTGATACACTCATTACTTTCTTGCTATATCATTTACTGTTCATCAAAGTTGCTTTATCATTTACTACTCCACCTCGAGGCAATCCCAAGTCGAGGTCGAAACTTGGCTAGCATACTGGTTTGACTTATTTTATTCTCTAATTTATTCGTTTATTTTCTTACTTATCAATTGGTATTGGACGAAATCACATATCCTTAAAACTACAATATAAGTTTATTGTTATTCGAATTTGAGGGTAAACAATTTGGCGCTCACCGTGGGGCTAAGGATAATAGTGATTGTTCGGTGCTGATTCTGATAACACACATTATTTCACGTTTGTTCTTGTCAAGTATTTTTGCTTTCAGGATAAAACATGTCAAACTCACAAAACGCACCCGCACATGGTGATAATGGTCTCGGGTTTCACGGGGAGAACGACAATATAATTGCTCCAGGAGCCGAGGTACCACTGGTTAATCTCAGGGAAGCGCCAGTTGCCGATCCGATCGATGTCAGTTCACACGTTTCTTTAAATGCGAATCTGGGCGTGGACCCCGAAGGGAGTCTATGTAGGGAAGGCCGATCTGGTGGCCAAGGTACACAGGGCAGATGAGATGGAGGAGTTAGTCTCCAGGTGATATCGAGATGCTACAGGCTCAGCAGGCCACTATTGCTCAGCTTCAAAATCACATAGAACTCCGAGTGGGGTTGAGCCGGAAATCACTCGTCGTACCGAGCCCGTGCCAGAGAGGTCGAATGGTAACGGATCGGGGACCGATCCTGTAGTAATAAAAATGCTCGAGGAGCTTACCAAGAGAATTGAGTCAGGAGAGAAGAAAATCGAAGCTAATGATAAAAAGGTGGAGACATAAAACTCTCGAGTTGATCGAATACCGGGGGCACTGCGAATCTTGAAAGGGATGGATTCGAAGAAGTTTGTACAAAAGTCGTTCCTCAAAGTGCGGCTCCGAAGCCTATTCCAAAGAAGTTTCGTATGCCAGACATACCAAAATATAATGGGACCACCGATCCCAACGAACATGTTACTTCATATACATGCGCCATCAAGGGTAACGATTTAGAAGATGATGAAATCGAATCTGTGATATTGATAAAGTTCAAAGAGACCCTTTCAAAGGGAGCAATGATTTGGTATCACAACCTACCGCTAGATTCCATCGACTCATTAGCCATGTTAGCAGATTATTTTGTAAAGGCACACGCCGGAGCCATAAAGGTCGCAACAAGAAAATTGGACCTTTTCAAGGTAAGACAAAGGGATAATGAAATGCTGAGGGAGTTCGTATCACGATTTCAAATGGAACGCATGGAGTTGCCACCGATCATAGATGATTGGGCCATTCAAGCTTTCACCCAAGGGTTGAATGAGCGGAGTTCGATATCATCACGTTAGTTGAAACAAGATTTGATCGAGTATCCAGTTGTAACTTGGGCAGATGTGCACAATCGATATCTATTGAAGATCAGGGTCGAGGAAGACCAATTAGGAGCCCGTTCCGGTTTAGTACATCCAAACAGGTCGGCAGTTAAAACCTAGAGGGACGTCGACAGGGATCCAAGGTCGAATAAAGAACGATATCAACCATATACTGCAGATGGAAGGAAAAAATGGTTCAGGATGCAATTGCACTCGGAATGATCGAGGACAAAATTTTTGGGGACTTATGAGCAAAAGTGGTTTTGATAAGCACGCCGACCCCACAGAGGCACATCGGTTATCGAAATATAACTTTAGCATCGATGCATTGGGCATTGTATCAGCAATCGGAAGGATAAAAGATACTAGGTGGCCCAGACCCATACAGACCCATCCTTCCCAAAGAAACCCAAATTTGATGTGCATGTATTATGGCACGCATGGTCACAAGACCGAGGATTGCAGGCAATTAAGGGAGGAGGTAGCCCGTCTATTCATGAGGGCCACCTTCGAGAGTTTCTCAGCAATCGAGCCAAGAATCATTTCAGAGAAAGGGACGCCAACAAGTAAAATGAAATTAGGGAGGAACCCCAACATGTCATTCATATGATCGTCGGTGGACATTCCACATGGACCCATATTCAAACCCACTAAGGTATCAATCACTAGGGAAAAATGAACCCGAGATTATGTGCCCGAAGGCTCCTTAACATTCAACAACGAAGAAGCAGAAGGCATTTCTCAGCCCCACAATGACGCTCTAGTAATTTATGTCTTATTAACTAAAGTTCAAGTTAAGCGTGTTTTAGTGCATCCAGTTAGCTCGGTGAATATCATCCAATCCAGGGTCGTAGAACAGCTCAGCCTACAAGATCAAATTGTGCCCGCAGCTCGGGTATTAAACGGCTTTAATATGGCCAGTGAAATAACTAAAGGGGAGATTATTCTACCGGTGAACGTGGCTGAAACCGTTCAAGATACCAATTTCCACGTGATCGAGGGTGACATGAGGTACAATGCCTTACTCTGAAGACCTTGGATCCATAGGCATTCCTTTCGACTCTCCACCAAATGATGAAGTTCCCAACGTCGGATAGGGTAAAGACAGTATACGAGGAGCATCATGCTGCAAAGGAAAAGTTTGTGGTTGATGAGGTAACGCCGATATCTACGTTATCAACCTCGGAAAGGTCAAGCATCAAAGGCAAACATGAAGCAAAATAGCAATCACAGCAACCAGCCTCGATCGAATCGGGGAAATGGGAGATAGAAGAAGAGGAGGAGGATTTTCTAACCCCTCGAACTTTTATTATTCCCAAAGATTCTGACGCCAACAAATCAAAGATCGAAGAGCAGGAACAGGTTATATTGATCGAGTACCTGCCCAAGCGAAAGGTATATCTGGGAACGGGATTGACCCCCGAACTCAGGAAAAAGCTTATTCAATTTCTTATTGATAACATAGATTGTGTTGCTTGGTCCCATTTAGACATGACAGGGATCCCACTGTAGATAACGCATCAGCTAAGCCTTGACCCCAGGTTCAAACCGTTGAAGCAGAAAAGAAGACCACAGTCCTATGTAAAGCACGCATTCATAAAGGACGAGGTAACTAAACTTCTCAAAATAGGGTCCATTCGGGAAGTGAAATATCCTGAATGGTTAGACAATGTAGTCGTAGTCCCTAAAAAAGGGAACAAATTTAGAATGTGGGTAGATTATAATGATTTAAACAAGGCATGCCCTAAAGATTCTTTTCCACTGCCTAACATCGATCGCATGATCGACGGCACGGCTGGCCACGAGATCCGTACCTTTCTCGATGCCTATTCCGGGTATAATCAAATTCAAATGAACCCAGAAGACCAAGAAAAGACTTCATTTATCACCATGTATGGAATATAATGTTATAATGTAATGCCTTCGGGCTAAAAGATACAGGAGCTACTTAGCAACGCCTAGCAAATAAAATATTTGAAGCACAAATAGGTAAGTCAATGGAAGTTTATATCGATGACATGCTAGTTAAGTCCCTGCGCGCAGAGGATCATTTGGCTCATTTGCAGGAAACGTTTGAGATTTTGAGGAAATATAACATGAAGCTCTACCCCGAGAAATGTGTTCGGGGTTTTTTGGGCTTCATGGTGTTGAATCGGGGGATCGAGATCAACCCCAATAAAATCAACGCCATCGAAGACATCGCCGTCGTGGACAGTGTAAAAGCCGTGCAGAGGCTGACTGGACGGATAACTGCTTTGGGCTGATCCATCTCAAGGTTGTGGGATCGAAGCCACAGATTTTTCTCTCTACTTGAAAAGAAGAACGATTTCACTTGGACCCCGGAATGCCAACAGGCATTTGAGGAATTAAAGCGATATCTATCGAGGCCGCCACTGCTTTACACTCCAAAGGCAGATGAGAAACTTTACTTGCACTTGGCAGTATCAAAAATCGCGGTAAGTGGTGTCCTAGTTCGAGAAGAGCAAGGTACGCAATTTTCCATTTATTATGTAAGTCGAACCTTAGGAGAAGCAGAAACTAGATATCCACACTTAAAGCAATTGGCACTTACACTGATAAGCGCCTCTAGAAAGTTAAAACCATACTTTCAATGTCACCCCATATGCATGTTAACCACTTACCCACTTTGTAATATTTTGCACAAGCCCGAACTATCAGGCTGATTGGCCAAATGGGCCGTCGAACTCTGTGGGTACGATATCGAGTATCAACCCCGAACGACCATCAAGTCTCAAATTTTAGCTGACTTCGTGACCGATTTCACGCCAAGCGTCGTACCCCAAGTTGAAAAGGAACTCTTGTTAAAATCGGGCACATCATCGGGGGTATGGACCCTTTTCACAGACGG